GCTTGCTGTTCATTCACAATCTGGAGATAAATATTTACTATCAATCTAGTCATGAATGGACGGCAAGCCTCTGTGCTGCTTCCTGTTCATTCATAAAGTGAGCAGATAGTAAATATTTACTATGACCCCATTCATAAATGAATTTCCTGTTCATTCATAACTGGGGACATAGTAAGCTTACTATGTCCTCAGGTTTTTGCAAACACTGAGTGATCAGTACCGATTGCTGAATGTTTGTGCTTCCCCTCTCCATCCTGACTGCTCTGCCTGTCACAGGAGCCGAGCTTTCCTCCCACACCAATGAAAATAGCCGAGCTCTCCTCCCACACCTCTCCCTTCGGCCTCCTGACAGCTGTCTTCTCCCTGCACCGCCCCACCCCACCTCCTGAAAGCTTCTCTCCTCCCCGCTGTGCGCTGGCAGCTGGATCGGCTCTGTTTGCCCTCTGATCCTCTGCTGACGGCAGTGGGGATTGGAGGGGACACAGACCGTAGCTTGCAGCCAGCATCCAGCAGAGAGGAGAGAAGCTAGGGATGCACCGAATTTCCGGCCATTTTGGTACCATGGGCATTTTGCCCATAGTACCATTTTTGGCCAAAATGTTTTAGTGGCTGAAATTTAAGTGCATCAGTGCAACAAACAAACAGCAAACTGCCCTCAAATGTGTAAGGGGAAGGAAGCAGAGGAAGTTCATTCCATGGGTGAAGGCTGGTTTAAACCGTATCGAAACTAAAAAAATAAAATGTAATATATTGCAGCATACCAGTCCTTAACCCCTTCACGACTAACGATGTACAGTGTATGTCGCTAGCATCGGGGCTGTTTAAACAGACCCTGTTGAAACTTGTAAAGCCGACTGTCGGCTGTACAATAGAAGCGATTCTGCCGACTCAGCTGTTGCCAGATCGCTTCTATGGCCCGGTGAAGGGCCATAGAAGCGATACCCCTGCCGTGCTTCCCGGGCTCCGTTGTCCCTCCTAAGGGTCCGGCTTCTCTGGTGTCAGCGGGAGCTGGGGAGGAGATGGACGAACCTCCGTTCATCGATCCCCTCCCTGTTTTATGGGACCGGGAGCGATGCAGACTGCATCAGTTCCGGGCTCCTGAAGCCCAGCTATAAGCTATTGAAGTGCGATCTGCACTTCAATAGCTTATTTGGAGTGTAAAGGTGACACTGGGGGTCTTTTGGAACCCCAGTATCACCTTAAAGAGTAACTGTCGCTGCTATCACATGGGGAGCTTGTAAGCCCCCTATGTGATAACAAATTTAAAAAAATAAGTTTTTAAAATTAAAATGAAATACAATAAATCTAAAAATAAAAAATGTTTTAAAGTCCCCTGCGCGTCTTCACGTAAACACGCGTCCGGTGCGCCTACATATGAAAACGACGAACACGCTACACATGTTGCATATTGCCGCGCACGCCGTAGTGAGAGCAATAATTCAAGGAGCAGTTTTTTTGTGTCTCTCTAAACTGATGACCTGGGGGTCTTTAAAAGCGTCTATGGACTTTTTGGGGTACTTTATCTCTGTTTCACGGACGCACACAATTTTTAACCTGGCCATGATGGGTAACTATTTACTCTTTGTAACCTCATATTTTATTAACAAATGGGTATTTTGTGTTTTGGGGCATTTAAGTGCATTTTTCACTACATTTTGAGGTTTGATAAGGAGTTGCGCTAATATCGTGCAACATAAAAATTTGCAACTGCCACCATTTTATTCTATAGGGTCTTGGCTTTCAGAAAATATATAATGTTGGGGGGGGTTTTAAGTAATTTTCAGGCCTAAAATGTGGAATATAACATGGGTGCAAAAAAATTAAAAAAAGGCCTCAGTCATAAAGGGGTTAAATGTACAACATGTTTTTTAAGGGTTTGTTTTCAGCTGGTGATCCTGCCAGTGACACTTCATGTCCTAAAATGACAACACTCAGTTACTGTACTGAATCAATGGAGGAGCAGCTTTGTCACCCTAGGACAGGAAGTGTGTTAGAACTACCGAACACCTCCCCCTCTCTTCTTCACCATAATATACTCTGAATTGGCCAACATTTGATCTGTCTGTACCCAGTACCCTGGTTTAGTCTTGTAGCTGCAACTACTTACAGTATACACATTTTTGTATTCCTGGTGTTGGACAGAATATTCCATTCAGTGATGTCCTTGCAAAGATTACAGAACTCTGAGAAAAAGAATACTCAACCCTCACAGTGGGGCTACCCCTGCACCACAAGGGTCAGGTGCTCATTTTCCTCTCTGGTGCAAAATAAAAAAAAGTTGTACTTCCCTGATCCGGCTTGCTCTTAGACCAGTCCTCCCAGCCTCTCCTCCCATCCTCTCCAGCACTCTAAGGATCCTTGAGTCATCACGTCAAATACACTGTGTATTGGATGTGAGGATGCCGAGGGACATATCATCACTGGAGCAGAAATGGAGACAGGCTGGAGGGAGCGCTCTAACAACCAGCCAGCTGCAGGGTTCAGGCGAGTATCATTTTATTTTACACTCTAGCCCTTCTGCAAGCCTTAAGAATAATTCTACCCAGAGTTCTTCTTTAATATCTGAATATCTGAAGTAGCCACCGCTCCAAGCTTGCTCCCGTGATAAGACTAAAGTCTCACTTCAAATTAGTAAACCAAATGTGAGATTGTTGTCCATCACGGGAGTGAGCTTAGAGTGCTGGCTACTTTACAAACACACACAGGGACCATGGGGAACACAAGTAGCCACCCTTCTGTGTGGCTTGATTCAGGCAATCAAGCCACACAGAAGACCCAAGTCAGTGACCTTACATTGCTGCAGCTAGTCAAAACTGTTTGGTCAAGGACCCACCTCTATCCGAATTAAACAATGGAAAAGCAGTAGCAGTAGACTGGAGGAGGCCATACCTGTGATCTTTCCTCCTATAAGCATGTTCAGATTGTCAGACTGACAGCACACCAAGCAATGGAGCATTGTTAGGCCTGGGCACTTAGTGCACCAGCATGGGGGCTGATACCACTATTTTCCTGGCTGCTGAAAAACAAAAAAGGGTTATGGGTTAAAGAGCACAGTCCGCTTTAGGCTAAAGTAAGTGATACAGTATTTTGGGGATTAGCTCAATGGGCAGTGGTTAGGGCTGGAAATAGCTGTACATTTTACATTTCCAGGTTTGTAAAATAAATCTGGATAAGCGTTATGATCTGGGGTTGCTTCAGTTGGTCAGGTTCAGCAACATTATCGTCTCCAAAAATGAGGTCTGCTGCCTACCTGAATGTATCGAATGACCCTGATGGCATTGGTATATTCCAAGATGACCACGGGAAGATTCCTCGGGCTCAAATTGATAGCATTTTCACACATGCATTGGCTACCACAAAGTCAAGACGTTAACCCCATTGAAAATCTTTTGGGATGTGCTGAAGTAGACATTTTGCAGTGGTCCGACTTTCCCATCATCACCACAAGATCTTGGTGAAAAATGAATGCAACTCTGGATATAAATAAATGTTGTGACATTATAAGCTCATTGAAATGATGCCACTATGAATGTGTGCCGTAATCAAAGCTAAAGGCGGTCCAACTAAAAATTAGTGTGTGGGACTTTTTTTTCTTGACCAGGCAGTGTATATCTCCAAATAATGCCTAATATTTGATCTAGTAGTAGTAGTGAGTGTCATTCAACTGGGCTTGTTTCTAAATTTATTTTATCTAGGGATGCACAGATACTAGTATTAGTGCCAATACCGAGTATTTGGGCAAGGATTCGTACTCACCCAAATATCAGATAATTGTCTCCAATACTGGAACTTCTGGTCAGAGGAAGATCTCTCTCTGACCGGCAGTACCGAGGGAGCATGGAGGCTGCTTTCTTTCCAAACAGGAAGCCAGGCTGTGGGGTTTGACCTGCCTTCCCGATTGGCTAGGAAGCCGGCTTCACTTGTTGCTAGGCAGACTGGCAGGTCATTATGTGCTGCCCGGCTTCCTGATTGGTTAGGAAGGCAGGCTGCCTAGGAACAAGTGAAACCAGCTTCCTAGCCAATCAGTATGCCGGGAGGCGGGTCATGACTCACCGCCCGGTTTCCCGATTGGCCAGGAAGCCAGGCAGCCTCGCAAGTGAAGCTGGTGTTCTTTCATTAGAACACAGTCTTCACAGGAAATCAGGAAGGTGGGCAACATGTCATGATCTGCCGGCCGACTTCCTGATAACGGGGTGGAACAGGGTACCAGTACATGGTATCGGCTAGTAATTTTAGAGATTGTAGTTAAGACAACCATAATAAAACAAAACCTGAAATTATACATTTGATGGAACCTTTAGCTTTACTGGGACCTGTACAATCTCATTTACAGAAGAAACTGGGCTAGTATAATCACTCATCTGCTGACCCAGTGCTTCTTCAGTAATTCAGAAGATCCTCAAACCGTTCAACCACATAAGGAGGATAAGGCCACATAGTAAAATGTCCCAATATTGTTCTCATACATTTTCGAGAACCAAAGCATATGATCGTGTGTTACAAGCAAATTCTACTCTTACAAATAGAAAAATCTAGATTTTAATGTCACATTAAGTTGCAATACATTTCAAGGGCAGAGAATAGAAAAAAAAAATAAAAAGTGACAGACATAACAAGTACAGGGTTAAATATATTACAATTTGCCTTGTTATAATACATTGTATTCTATACAGTAAAAAGTTATAGGTAGATGAATTTCAAGGCAATTTAAAGCGGTATCACAAAAACAAATCATTTAATATGTTGAAGCATTGTCTGCATTAACAAAATTCTCAAAGTAACATAAGAATTTGGCCTTGCAAGGTTTGCGTTTTCTTTAAGAAAGGGATTAGTTTGACAGAACACAATAATAAAAAGGTCTATGAAACTTTGTTTCCCATCTGGTGAAGAGATGGAAGACTATAGGCTTCTAGCACATTATATATAGCTGCATTTTACCAAAACTACAGCCATAACGAGCACGCGTGTTCCACACTAGCACCAGAATGAGTTTTTTTTAGCATGGCAGTTTAACCGAATTACACAAACTTACATTAAGTGCATTTTAGAAAAGCCTTAAAATAGAAAAGCATTTTGTCCTCAAATGTTGAACACCGGGAAAATGACAAATGCAGTAAATTTATCAACCCTCAAAACAAAAATGTAAACTGAAATGAATTCATAATATACATTTTGTGCTGTAGCTGAATTTTTAATTACAGTATTTTAACTTTTATAGCAAAGGGCTACCTAGACCAAGCAATGTGGTAGCTTCAAAGAGTTTTGCAACCATGTTTATTTGTATGCACAGACACTAAAATCATCCAGGCGTACAACGTTCATGTTAAGCATGTTGCATTTCTTTTCCAATTTTGTAACTAAGAATCTTGTTCCAGTCAATCTTTGTGCGCGTCACTGGCAGCTGCCGGCGTAAGGCTTTGAAAGTAGTGTCAGACATAGTCTGGTAGTTCTCACTGATTGCAGTCTAAGACAGGAAGAGATACAAGGGTTAAATCATAGCAGTCAATGTACAGGAGAGCAGCACGTTTACAAAGGGCACAATATGCATTTATTCATGGTAGTGTATAGCAGTCAAGACAAAATGAATAAAAGCTTTATTCTTTTTTTTTACTCCAAATAATACTCCATGCCCCAGGTTTATTCCCACACCAAGCTGTTTAGCAGCCGCCTTGTCCCACTACTGTACCTACAGGGCCCTGTCACACCATCAAGAGTGCTTCCAGCCTCTGGAACTCACCTCGCCCAGCTCACTTTGATTTGGGGCAGGAGGGGTGTGGCGGTGCATTGAACTCAATGGCATCGCAGCCACGGCCCCCACCTGCGGTGTGACCATCAGCACCCAAACGCGTGGCACATTAGTGCCTGTGTTCCGGTTCAGTGCGATCTGCAAAAAATGCTGCATGCACTATTTTTTTGCAGATCGCATTGGACGGAACACAGGCACTAATGAGCCACGTGTTCGGGTGCCAGCGATCACTCTGCGGGTGGGGTGTGTGGCTGCAGTGCCATTGAGTTCAATGCACTCCCCTCCCGCCCCAAAACAAAGTGAGCTGGGCGAGGTGCATTCCAGAGGCCGAATGCACTGGAACGCACTCTTGATGGTGCGACAGTGCCTACAGAGTAGAGTTGCATGAGAAATAGGAGTCCAAGAACAAAAAGCAACGTTTACCTGTAGTAAAAAGCAAAGTTTAATTTTCACATATTCTGGTTTAATTTTCCTGTATTATCCTAATTATTTATCCACTGCAGGCAAAGGCTACCAATCATGGCAGGTCAGCCTATATACAGATGTGGGAAAATGTGTTTGTACCCATATAAAAAAAAAAAAAGAAAAAAAAAAAAAAAAAAAAAGGGAACCCAAAGTTTTCTAGGAAATAACTTAAAACTGCCCAAAGTAATCTGCATCAACCATTGTTTTATATTTAAAACAAAATCAGACTTTTCTATTGATTTAACTGAGTATTTTAAATGAAACAAATATAAATGCCATTGACAAAAGTTATGGGACCCTTAACCTAATATTTTGCTGTGCAACATTTAGGGCCTGTTCACAAGAGTTTCAAGTCCCGATCAGGTGCGGATCTGCAGACGCGGTGCTATGTGTTTTTTCGGCGTTTTGGATGCTTGCCAATAAAAAAAAATAAAAAAAAAAACTTTTTTTTTTTTTTTTGCTGGAGTGGGGCTATCAGTATGTTAGCTGCAGTGCAGTGCGTTTTTGATGCGTTTTCGGACCGTATCCTGACCGTACAAAATGTGACATGCAGTATTTTTCTGAACGGACTGCGCACGCGAGAACTGTAGCCCATAAAACACATAGGGATAAATTGGGATGCATTTTTAGTGCAGGAGCGTACGGATCAGGTCAGCACAGAAAACGGATGTCGTGTGAACAGGCCCTTAGGGTCAAATCACTGCAAACAATTGATTTCAGTAGCTCTCAATGAGGCTTTACAGGTAGTTTGGCCAACACTTTTTGAGCAAGCTGCTCCAGCTTTCTCAGGTTTGAAGGTGCCTTCTCCAAACTACATGGTTCATCTCCTTCCATCAATCAAGAGATCAGGGTTCATATAAGGTCACTTCAATGTTTCGTTCTTAGCCATTCTTGGGTTCTTTTAGCTGTGTTTTTGCATCATTATCCTGACCCATGACCTGTAAATGAGAGCTTTTTGAACTTGGCAGTATTTATCGTTCCAGAATCCGTTAACTGTTTTGAGATTTCATTGTGCCCTGCCCGATTCAAGGCACCCCATGCCAGACAAAAGCAAAGCAGCCCCAAAACCTAACTGAGCCTCTTCATTTTTTACAGTAGGTACGGCACCCTTTTCTTTGAAAGCTTAATTTCATCTGTGAACATAGAACTGAGGTGATTTGTCAGAAAATTCCAGTTTCGTCTCATCTGTCAGAGGCATTGTGGCTTGTCAATAAGCATGTTAGCAAATTCCAATCCGGCTTTTGTATGTTTTTCTTTCATTGGTGGATTCCTCCTGGGTCTTCTTCCTTTGAGCCCACTGTCATTCAAAAAGCAACAGATGGTGCCATCACACACACCTTGACCTTGATGTACCTTGTAGATCTTTGGAAGTTCTTCTTGGCTCTTGTCTACCATGCACACTATCTTTGTTCATTCTGGGGTTGATTTTCCTTTTGCTGTCGCATCCGGGGAGGTTAGCTACACACCCATGGATCTGAAACTTCTATTTTGTGTTAACTTGTTTAGTTTGTTTACTTCAATAATATTTTTTTTAAAACTTTAGTTACAGGAACCCCAAGCTACTTGGAGATGGCATTATAGTATTTATGTTTTACATGCTGGTCTATCATTTTCTTTCTGATCTCCTCAGACAAAAGCTCTCCTTTGCTTTCTCTGGTCCCTGTTCAGTGTGGCAAACATGATGATAGCAAAACAGATTGACCATTTTTTTTCCATTCAAATAGGCTGACAGATTACCAGACTGAAGAGATATAGTTACATCGTATTTGAGGTTGAATAAAGACATTAGTCCATCAAGTCCAACCTATTAGGATCTCATTCTAGGAGTACCTGTACCCCTGTATATTACGGTCCCTTAAGAAATCGTCCAAAAGTTTCTTGAACAATTCCACATTCTTTGCTGAAATCCCCGCCTGTGGCAGTGAGTTCCGGACCCTAACCGATCTTACTGTGAAAAACCCCCTTCGCCCCTTGTGCTGGAATTTTTTAATATGTGATACTAATTACACAGTAACAGTTAAATTTGAAATATCACTATGAGCCAAAGATTTATTATGTATTCTAGGGGTACCAGTGCATCTATCCAGGCCATTTTACAATAGATTTGTAGTATAAACAAGAATTTATTTTTCACACTTTGCTTTGTGGCAAACCAAAGGCATGCAGGTATACATGAGACGATTGCTTTTAATTTCATCACTTTCTGGAGGAATGAAGCACTGTTTCAACGAACTGTGAGAATACCGACAAATTTGTCAACACATGTAGCTCTAGCCGATATATTGCTGTGTAACCCTATATGTCGGTTTTAAAAGAGTTTGGGAAAGAAGGAGGGGTGTTTTATGTAAGTGCAGAATTAGACTAAAAAACATGCAATGTGCCTTATAATCCTACATGTTGCTCAAGCAGTGTACAAGAGAAGACTATTATTCTTGTTAAAGCCCATCTCCAGGGAAAGAAACAAACTAAACCAAAAACACTACCTTTCAGTGGGGCTACCCCTGCATTGCAAGGGTTACCTGGTTAACTGCTTATTTATTTTTGTCTAGGTGTACTATTTAGACGACTTTTACTGACCTTATTCCCACTCCTGACATCACGTCTATTGCAAGGCCCATAGTCCAGCATAATTAGTGAGGACGCAGAGGGACAGTCCACAAGTCGGAGCGTAGAGGAGTGGGATGAGAACTGACTGCCAGAGAAGTGAGAATCAAGCAAGTAAAACTGCTTTCAGCTGGCTAAAGATCTATAGATTATCTGCAGATTTCCTATTGTCAGATGGAAAAAGTGCAACAGATTTCTCCATCTACGCTAAAACTATGTGGGTAGAGGAATCTCCTACTGGGCCAAGCTTCAGTATCTTGTTAGTCTGCCCAGCTGACTCTCTAAACACCTGAACTACATCTGCATCCAATCATTAATTCCATGTATATTCATATATATATATCATCCTCCTATACACATACATGGTTTATTCATGTCTGTCTCAGATAGGGGTTATGCTTATTCCATCTGGTCCCAATTATATATATATATATATATTGTGCAATCTATTCAATATTCCTTGCTTATCAGCTTAAATCTGTTTTGTCATGGCACGCATAGCCTCTGCCAGCTGACGATGAACTGTTTACATTTGTCATGGTATGTGTTCTAAATTGCTCTCTGTAAACAGTCCACCTCCCTCTCATAGTGCTTGCTGTACAGCTGACATGCTGCACAATCGATACGCCACTTGGCAGAACAAGGTTCGGTTTTCTGCCTCGTGGATTGGATGCTAACATTGGCCACTCCCTCCAGGCGAGCCCACGTATAGCCCTCTCATGATTGGTCCAGCGCCATGACGGGCTATCCGTCAGTCACAGGACAGGGCTCAATGTCTTTAGCCACGGAGGACTCGTTACACAAACCCTGTAACAGCTGCGGTTTAAACCGACAGGGCTCCCGCACACTTGCCGATTGGCCAGTCACCTCTTTATCTAGCACATGGGACGGAGGAGGTCTGTATCTGATGAAGGGGGCGTGACCCCGGAAACGCGTCATCCTACAGCACACAGTCTCCTGCTGACACACAGACACGGCTGTGCAGCTTTCATAGACTTCACCTTGGGTCCATGGACTTAACTTATACACTTTTTATACTTCCATCATGAATTTTGTGAGTATGTTTTATATTTATCTTCTATTCTGATCTTAATAAATTTGTCTGCACCAGGAAAGGCGCCCCTTGTTTGTGTTTTTTCCCTAGATTGTTCAGGTATTTTGAGAGCCAGCGGGGCAGACTAGCAAGATACTGAAGCTTGGCCCAGTAGGAGATTCCTCCATCCACACAGTTTAGCGTAGATGGAGGAATCTGTTGCACTTTTTCCATCTGACCATAGAAAATCTACAGATAATCTATAGATGTATGGGCAGCTTTATACAGTTCCCTTTGACATAAACAAGCCGTTAACCCTTGTAGTTTTTTCCCCAAGTGAGGCTTTAAGCCACATTGTATCCTTTTTATACACATGTGCCAGTTTTATCATATGCATACAGTTTGCACAATTATTTTTGGCATCTTATAATGCTAAATAAATGATTTTCTTTGCACAAGAGTAGTAAACCAAGTCTTTAGGAAATAGGTTTGTATTTTGACTACTGGTCCCCCCCCATTTCCAAAACCCTTAAGTCATAACAGACGTACCTGGTATGCATTTTCAGCATCCTCTACAATTTTAATGAACTCCTTTGCAGTCTGACTCTCATTCTGAAAAATACAATATATCAAAAGATAACAGAAAGATCACAATCATCTTATGACCCAATTTTCTTGACCCAGTACTTTATGACAACCCAACACACATGCTGGCCACAGCTGTAACTTCCATGCCTGCACGCAAGACCAGTTTTTTTTTCTCATAGCCCAGGAAAAGCAATATGAAAAGTAATCCAAAGAAATGGTTTATCATCATCTTTCCTGTTTCTGATTTCTGAATGCTGATCAATTCTAATAGATTACTGCAATATTGAAATATGTTGAATGGCAGGTTCACACCATTTTCTGGTCCAGATCTGAACATGGTGAGAGCCTGCCCACAGTTCCAGTGCATTCCAGACCAGACAAAATGAGACCGCAGTATTTTTCTGGGTCTGGAACAGACTGCGCTGGTGAGAACAGAGGCAAGAAATATTATAGGGATACATTAGGATGCATTTTGGGTCCGGAAACAGTCTGGCCAGGTCTGGAGATGATCTTAATGTGGTGTGAATGGGTCCTAAAGGGTGATCCTCCAGTGCCAGCCTCAGGCATTTATTATTACTACGACTGAAGGAAAATGTATCCATACTACCCCCTGCAGTATGTTGGTAATCTTTTCAGGACCATAGTATACATTTCCCATCTGCACTCAGTGTCATCAGATTAAAGTGGGCTGTAAAGGCTGTTTCCTGGCCATATCCATGGCAGCGCTGACAAATGAGCCCAGCGATGCCATGGAGTATAACAAGGAAAAGAAAATTAGGCAAGTATGATTACATTTCCCGTTATCTCTACCTGTGTAAAGCTGGACAAAACACTTTTTTTTCCTAAAATTTGATTAATGTAATTTTAAGATTTTGATTTATTCTAAACTTAGTACATTGTACAACAAATGTGTTTAACGTGGGTGGCCATAATTGGATTGTGGGGAAAAAAATAGTTAATAGCATTTGAGAGACAGTATCAGAGTTGGAGGGATATTGCCATTACTAAAACACACAATTTTACACCTTTTGACATGGATGGGTGAATAATGTAAACATACTTACAGTCACTGTTAGTGATTCTTCAATATCTTTATGGCTCACTAACTGTACATTTCCATCTTCATAATAATGAACCTATGTAAAAAATAAAGATTTTGTTATACGCTACAGAAAGTATTACCTGGTTAAAAGGATTTAATGAATGAAATGACATGCTACAAGTGTAAGCCAATTAGTAAGCAACTTACGCTACTCAGGGAACATGGAAACAGTGCTAAAGAAAATTTCACTTGATTTTCCATAGTCTGCATTTTGTGTATTCCACTGGAGTAAGAAAGCAGTTAGCTCTTGATATGGCCTCCGGGAGTGTACATCCTGAAGTCTAAAAGGTGCCCACACACCTCGCGACAATTATCGCGAGAAATCCTGCGATAATACAATTATCGCAAGGTGTGTGGAAGGCGTGCGACCATTACTGTACGGTCGCACGACTGCTGTCTTTCGAGCATGTTCGAAAACTTTCGGCTGGTTTGTAGCATGAATGTGAGATAACTGCCGCACGGGCCGGTGTGCGCAAGCTACTATCTGCCTGTCCAAGATGGGCAGATCGTACGTTTTTTTAAAATTACCTTACAACCATCGCAAGACATAAGTCTTGCGATGGTTGTAAGGTGTGTGGTCAGCTTTAGCTGCATAACTCGTTAAACCCGATGTAATTTCACAAAAAGGATAGAGAGCTTTTAAGAACTTTAAATAGTCATAATAGATCTATATAGTGCTCAGTGGGGTTCAAGCTTTTAACTTTTTTATTAAAATTAGATCAGGTTGTTACAGCTTTTGCTTAACAAAAAATGTTTAATCATTTATTTACTTTGTTGCCACCCTGAAACATTTCATTGTGTTGTAATATGTACCCAGTAAAAAATAATTGGATTTTTGTACTTATAAAACACATTTTTTGGACTCCATTGTAAGACACAGGAAATTAGAGCTGGGTTCTACTGCTGCTTTACCGACCAATGCAGAGGGGAACGATTCCACATAAAAGGGACTACTGAACCTGAGCAACCAGGAATACATCAAAGCAGGTAGAATAATAAACTTCCAAACAGGGATAACAGGTCCCAAAAGGGAACCCAGAAAAAAAGAAAACCTCTATGGACGATAAAGACATTTATATTTGACACTATTTAAATTATCTTTTAGGAAAATTCTGAAGAACCTGCATGGAAATAAAAGTTTAAATGTTTATAATAAAAATGTTCAGTAAAAGAACTAATGAGCATAGAAATAAGAAAATTATGATTCCACTGGTTAAGCAATATCAAAAAAATCTTACTTCCATGCATACAAATAAGCAGTAAAAGGTCACTGATATTTAGGATGCTGAATATAATAAACTGCATTGAATGTATGATGTTTTACCACCACAGAAGGTAAACCATGAAATACCTGAATTTTTAGAAGTCCCACCACCTTCGCAGTAGATTGCGTTATGGTAAATTTCCATTCTGACCTCCAGCGTCCATTCCTAGAAAACATAATATGGCAACCAAATGATTCATACTGCACTGCTGCTATAACAGGGTTACATACTTCTAAGCTTTGTGTTTGAATGCATTGTAAGGCTTTCAAATTTTGCAATGCACTTGAGAACTATGGGGCAAGTGTTTTTCCCCATAGTTTTCTTAAGGGTCACAGGAGGACATAAATTAGCGTTCTCCCGTGACCCAAAGCTCAGTATATCGCGAGCTACAGCTCGCAGTATACGGAGACCGCCGCAGCTGGGTGGATCCCGAAATTACTGCCAAGATCCACCCAGCTGCGTGAGTGACAGCTGGCTCTGCCAATATAGAAGGCAGAGCCAGCTTTGGGGTGGGGGGGAGAACCCCTACAGGGAGCGTGACTGACAGTCACCGCTCTCTGCAGGGAGATGATCGAGAAGTGAGCGAGCGACAGTATGTGTTTGTTCACCTTCCGATCTATTGAGCCGACATGTGACAGTTTCATGGTCACACATCGGCTCAAACTATGAGGCTGAGTGATTTTCACTCACCTCATATAGTTCTCCTTTAAGCCCACAGGTTAAACACTGAAATTTGAAAACACTCAAATGCTCTCAGCTAGGCTATTGTATTCTGAAAGTCGTACTCTTGGATTAGCTGCAGTCACTGTCTGGCTGAGAATTTTCAGACCGGCTTTCGGTGTCATGCTGCTCATTAAGACTAACACAGAACCCCCTTAATGGTGGCCATGAGTACATTCCCCAGCAGTCTAGCAGAACAGAAAAAAAGGAAGTTGCACATTGTACTGCAGGAAGCCAAACTGTTTTCTTATTGCAAGCATACAACGAAAACAGAGAATGGGAGTACAATGCATAAGTTGGAATAGGTTTACCGTATATACTCGAGTATAAGCCGAGATTTTCAGCCCATTTTTTTGGGTGAAAAGTGCCCCCCTCGGCTTATACTCGAGTCAGCGATTCTAACAATGCATTTAGTGTGAACATGCAAGGTCTGCAAAGCTGCATCTGCAGCTTTAGCATTGTTGAGGTATTCAAAACATAATTGCCTATACCCTCATATTTCCTAGGAAAGAAAAACAGACTTACCAGAAGTTTTTAGCTTGAAACTGATGACTCTCTATACATACAATAATAGTTTGCTGTCCATCAATTGTTTTCCCGTACACCTAAGGTTACAAAGATAATTGGCATGGACGAGAGGTAAAATTCCACTTACACTACATGACTAAACTAAATATTTATACATTTTTACACTATTAAAGAGAAAATGCAAAAAGAAGAATTTCTACTTACAGTACTAGATCCATTAGAATAATGATCTTTCACATAGGATCTCACTGCAGAGTCCACAACATTCCTCCACGATTCGATGGCATTTTCTCCCTCATGGGGCTTGGGATCACTGGCCTCCTTCCTCAAGTGATCAAATCTAAAGGAAATCTTGTTCTTTGGATCCAAAAACCTCCCGTTACCAAGATCTCCATGTTCCGTTATTAATGCCTAGGGAGAGACAGGAATGTTATTCTCCATTCTAGCCTTATCCTGAGAAGTCTACAAAACTCCAGATCCCAAACTGTTTCCTCAGTTTCAGCTGTAAACTATCAATATTCCCTCAGGAGGTTCTGTATTGACACTTTACAACCTGTGAACCCTGAGAAATATAGCCAACATATGAAGAACAGTACTAATGCCTACTAACGGATCACTTGTAGATGTAGTTGTGAGGGGAACGGTGGGGTGGGAAGATTAGGGTGTCCATTGTGAAATACTCTTGAAGTAGAGATTGGTCACCTTTACAAATCTAAATGTTCATACTATCACATCAACCAGTTACAGAACATATCAGCCTGTATACACCTCAGACAACTGCTACACATTCTGCAGTACTGATTTGACAAAAACACAAACACAGTGCAGTCCTAAAGGATAACCGGATCCTAATTGCAGAATGAGAAAAACACATGCAAGAGTGCAGAAACCCGTCATGAGAGAAATATGGCATCTAACCCAAGTCACTAACCCAGCATATGTATGCAGATCAGGAGTTCTGATCTTGCTGCATGCATATTTTAGATTACTCAGATATTACTGAAGTCAGAGATGGCCAGGCAACTCACATTTTCAGAAGGTGGTCAGCAATGGCAGACTTTTTTTTTTATGACAAGTGTACCTAAACATTATAGGTAATGGTAAATAGTTTGAGGCTCTCCTTGTCATACAAGGCTACCCATTCACTTGTTAAAATGTGGCCCATAAACTCACATTCTTCATATTGAATCTATAAATCTAGCTACACATTGGAGCAAATGGGGGGATAACCCCCCCCCCCCAAAAAATATAGTCTTTGAAGGAGAAATCATAAGCAATGCAGACAGACATACCTGATCTTCATAGCCTTCAACCTTTACTGGAGTGAACTGATCTACGTTGTACTGCGCAAAAGCACTAGAAAATTAAATAAAATCTGTAAATATCAAAACATCAAATAGCTTTCAAATCACACAAATCAATAGATCATGTCAAATGAAATTGCTTTTTCCCCTTCTCATGAATGGCTGGAAACCAGAAGCTGTTGGAGACTGCAGAGAGCCTGTTCTTTTAGGTTATGTTCACACTAGGGATGCGCAGATACTTTGAGTACCAGTGCAGATACTTGGCATTTTCATGGGATACCAGGATTGCAGCGGTTGCAGCTGGGACCTGGCTCTGGCACTCCACCACTGTCCTGAAATCATTAGTCTGTATTGTTTTAGAAATACGGTCACATGACAATAAAAATGTATCAGTACTCGTACTTGTAAGTACTCGTACTCGCAGAACTGGTATCTGTGCATCCCTTTATTTATACTTATAAAAACAAAATCGTACAAATCCCAGGAGCTCCGTGTGCTCCTTACAAATGACAGCGGCCTCCTAACTTTTGAATTTTTCTCTAGTGTAGTCTTGGAGCTCAAAAGTATCGGTACATGTACTCGTACTTGTACCGAGTACTGTACTTGGTATCTGTGCAACCCTAGTTCACACCATGTCCGCACAAGATCTGGAACAGATCTGCAAACGCAGGGCGTTTGCATGCGTTCCAGACCACAGAAAATGAGACCAGCAGTATATTTTTGTCTGGATCGAACAGACTGCGCTAGTGTGAACAGAGCCCAGAAATACCATAAGGATACATTGGGATTCTTTTTTGGGCCGGAAACAAACTGTTCTAGTCTGGACATGATCGGGACATGGTGTGAACAAGCCCTTAAAATCTCAGAGACAAGGTCTGTCTGGTTTAAGTGAGGGAAAATAAAAAAATCAATAAAACAAGAGGAATGACTGCTGTCAGATAATTACTGGTGCCTGTGTATCCCATTGGGAAGATTCAACTTCATGAAAGACATTGAGTGAGGGCTAATCTCCACAGCAGGGACCCAGACCGGCATTAAAACCTGACACGGGTCCTAAACCTCCCCCAGTGTATCGCTACGGTTTAGTATGTAAATGACCTTAAAACTGCAAACAAGGATGGAAAGTATATAGTGATATTGACCATACCTGCTGTGAACATTAAACCAATATGTGTATACCACAAGGCAATTCATTTGTAATCCCATCACTATTGATGCGATACTGTATGTCACACTTATTCCTTGTGGGATGCAGGGTGGGTGAACTATAATGGATTATATTTGGCTAACTTCTATTCCTCTGGTGGCTTATTATTGTAGGTATAACTATCAGGTATATTCGATTATTATATTCTGCATAATGATAATAGATGGCTTGTATTGAACGATTAGAGAAAGAACAATCTGCTCTGCCAGCCATTTACCGTGTTCGGGTCTAATTGATCCTTTTCTTTAATTGTCTTTAACAAGGTATCTTACAATGCTTCCTAATGAATGGGTGAAAACTAAAACTGCAGACACATAAACACGATTTTACCAAAAATATATGTATTTTTAGCTACAGCTTATACATGAACTCTGGGAGGATCAGCTGCTGCTCCTTTATCAATCACAGGCTGGGGCAGGTCTTTAGCCAAGCAGTGCTGTATATATGCCTGTGCTGTCAGGATTTCAAGACCAGCTGAAGAGAAATCACAAACCTTTTGGTAGGCAGGGTAGTTTGCATATGATTGCATCAATCTTTTGCTGCTCCTTCACTATCCAATCACCAGCTGGAGACCTAGATAGATTGCTTAAAGCATATTTTCAACTATTGCAGCTAAATGGAAAAATGTACCTACTTTATATTTATTACACGTTTCCATTCACATAGCATAACTTATAGAAAAAAAAAAATTGTTGCTTGTCCCTTTTATTTCCTGGATAATACTATAAAAAGTTTACCTAGCTCTCCCATTCTATAGGAGGCTGGGGAGTCATGCTTGCAATAATTAACCCTGCCTGTGCTGGCCTGGCAGATCTTATTAGAGATGTAAACACAGTCTGTCCTAACAAAGTTGAAAATATCAGGGCCTGCATGGTACATATATTAATGGTCTTTAAAGAAATTTGCACCCAAGTATCCCTATATTGTAAAGTTAGTAAAGTTATTCAAAAACGTTCAAGCTGCCTGTAGAGTCCTGTATATCATTTTGCTTTACATAAATGGCTAGAATGGTAAGAAATATATTTTTTCATTATTTGTATGCTGTGTGAATAGGAACACAAACATTTGTCTGCAAAAGGTGGAAATGCATTTTAAATGCTGCATAGAAAATTCAGGTCACCAGGCTATCTTTGCAGTCTACTAGGGCTGTGTAAATCCTAGGACTGGATAGAAAGAAATGTAAATCCATTAGCAGGTACGGCAACTCCCATATGTGAATTTCAATGGTGCATTTAGCTGTTTGCCTGAAGTCATCAAATACTTGTGACTATAAAGCTGTAGAAGCAGAATCAGTCAGGTCACAAAGTCTAGCATTCATTCTTTTCACTTTCATAATAAACCTTTATAGTACTCAAAACTAGCTCATTTCTGGCTCAACTACATGTGTAGGCTATTTTGTAGTACATGATTTCAACTGTGTGTTAGGAATTCTGGAGGAACGGTAATGACATGAACACTTACTGAGCAGCGCCTTCCCTGAGTAAGTTGTCATTGTTGAGTAGAAGCCGAACATCTGTAGAAGAAACACATACAAGAAAGTAGTTATTAGCCATCCTCCAATAGAACAGAACATCAGTTGTATATTTAAACACTGGGAAATACAATTCAATGATAAAGCTAAAAGTTTATTTTCTTAGGGTACAGCACCAATCACATTAGTTACCTACAAATACCATCATGTATCTACCTCTGGGAGCCATGTCAGTGGCTGTCTTGTAATGCCTAATGGGATTTGGAGTTGCACCGAAGCTGGAGGGCCAGAGTCTGCCTACCCCTGCAATAGATCTCTGATCCATCTCCTAGGCCTTCCAACAGAAGAGTTGTCCGAAAGCCTTGAAAAAAAACTTTGGCGCATATTTCAACAGCAGCCCTATGTTTAAATCACCTTTAAATGGAAAACGAAAACTCCTTCAACAGTTTAAGACCTTTATACCCAAACTAAGGAAACAGAGCTGATGGAAACCAACAGCCAGGTTATGAAACATTAGCAAAACATAAAAACGTGGACTTTAGGGCATGTGTAGTATAGGGTCTATTTTACAAATCATACGCTGGATGAATGCTGTTTTGCATGGCATGCGCACCACTATATGGAGCCAAATAACTAACCCTGGGCTCCATACTTACGGGGTTAATCATAAAAGGGTGAAGAGTTTGGAGAAGGCTGTGGATATGAACAATCTAGGCTAAAATAGCTGAACTGGAAAGTGAGCTGATTTGGAGAATGTTTCCAAATCAGCTATATTGGCCTAGATTGTTCCCTTCTCCTGCCTTCTCCAAACTCTTCACCCTTTTGTGAAGAACCCTGTTAGTCTTCCATTAGAAAAGCAGTTCCACTCTCTTACCTGCACTTGCTCCTTTCTTTATCTCTCCTCCTCCTCCTCCTCTACAGGTAGTTCACTACCCCCACCTTTCTATTCTTACCTGATGTAACAATACATACCTGGTTACTACTATTTACCACAGCAGACACACCGAGCTCAATACACAATTCATGCTACAAAGCCCACTTGGACCAAACTGCTGTTACAAAGAAATAGAATAAAGCTGGCCATACACCGCTCTATTTTTTCCCGTTCAACCCATGGGCTAAAGAAAATAATAGAACAGATTCCTCCATAAACGATTACGATTGTGATCGAGGAATCACCGAGGTTTCCTTTGTATTCTGACAGCGGCCGTCAGCCGCTCTGAGAATGCCAGAACAGAGGCGGCAGCTCATTGACTGCCAGCTCTGTTCGTTTGAAGATTTTCCGACCGTCTCCTCTGATCAGCTGATCGAGAGATGCCAGCTGAAAGGGTGCCGACAGTGGCTTCCACTGTGCAAATTTACTATAATAATACAAGGGTAATCCCTCGCTCAGTAAGGAATAATTGTTGGTCATTTTGTCAAGAACACACAATTTGATATGCACAATTAACTATTGCAGATTTGTGACAATAGTGTGCCTGTAGTAACAACCAGAATTTCATTTTGTATGGTTGCTGTGCCTTTTTTTTAATCCTTCTGAAAACGAAATAAAAATACATAATATGTTCCATATAACGGCTGTTAAAAAAAAAAAAAAAAAAATCACGATTTGGATTACTCTGGAAACCACTGAGCGGCTGCAGATCATTTGAAATGCTACCCGTTTTCATATGTAATTGTCAGCAAGTAGAGAGCAGCGAGTAGATTGCCAAATGAACTGGATTACTCACCATTAAATACTTCATTGAACTCCCCCGGTGGAGCATGGATGATGAACTTTGCCGCTACACGTACCTAAAAAAGGTAATAAAAAATTATTAGGATTTCCAATAACACAAAACTAATGAAGTTTACAAAAATAAAAAGCCTAGTCGATCAGTGCAATTTTATCTGCATTTGATTACATGAATATCTTGTATACACAGTTCCTGGCCTGCTGTCATAGTAAAAAGGTGCCCATACACTGTGCGATGTTCGTTTGGAATCGCACACGCATGGTCTTTCGAACGAAAAATCGGACAGTTGATGGTACATCACTGATTTTCGTTTTCGATATTGTGATTGAAATTTTTTGTTCGGTCAGGTTGGAAAAAAAAACCAAATGAATCAGCAGCAAGAACACAGCACATGCGCAAAAGAAAATTATTTCGGTAATTTGTCAAAAATTGGTTGGTTAGTATGGCTAACGAATGATTTCCAAAATTGACATTTGCCTATGCTTGATGGGGAAGTCTATGTATAATCGGAGGAGGGTTTGTAGCGGAAATGAAACATTTCAAAACGAAAATCTAACAATGTATGGCCACCTTTAGTCTCATTTTGAAAAAAAAAAAAAAAAAGTACAACAAACCATTGTGTGGAAGTAGTTGTTTCCTTGCTGCAATCAGATATGGCCCCCTTCTGAGTCAGAGCATAAATAAAGCTCTGCTTTGTGTTGTGGGGTGGAGAGTGTGTGTGTGGGTTGGATCACTGCAGAGCGTCTGCTGCTTCCACAGAGATCTCGGCAATCCTCCTCTGCAAAGAATGCCCAGACAGCAGGGCTGGTCTGATCAATGTAGAGTATCTGCTGCTTCCACAGAGACCTCAGCAATCCTCCCTTGTAATGTATGCCCAGGCTGCGGGGCTGGTCTGATCAATGCAGAGTGTCTGCTGCTTCCACAGAGATCTCAGCAGTCCATCTCTGCAAAGAATGCCGAGACAGCAGGGCTGGTCTGATCAATGCAGAGTGTCTGCTGCTTCCACAGAGACCTCAGCAATCCTCCCTTGTAATGTATGCCCAGGCTGCGGGGCTGGTCATATCAATGCAGAGTGTCTGCTGCTTCCACAGAGATCTCAGCAGTCCATCTCTGCAAAGAATGCCGAGACAGCATGGCTGGTCTGATCAATGTAGAGTATCTGCTGCTTCCACAGAGATCTCGGCAATCCTCCCTTGTAATGTATGCCCAGGCTGCGGGGCTGGTCGAATCAATGCAGAGCGTCTGCTGCTTCCACAGAGATCTCGGCAGTCCATCTCTGCAAAGAATGCCCAGGCAGCAGGGCTGGTCTGATCAATGCAGAGCGTCTGCTGCTTCCACAGAGATCTCGGCAATCCTCCTCTGCAAAGAATGCCCAGACAGCAGGGCTGGTCTGATCAATGTAGAGTATCTGCTGCTTCCACAGAGACCTCAGCAATCCTCCCTTGTAATGTATGCCCAGGCTGCGGGGCTGGTCTGATCAATGCAGAGTGTCTGCTGCTTCCACAGAGATCTCAGCAGTCCATCTCTGCAAAGAATGCCGAGACAGCAGGGCTGGTCTGATCAATGCAGAGTGTCTGCTGCTTCCACAGAGACCTCAGCAATCCTCCCTTGTAATGTATGCCCAGGCTGCGGGGCTGGTCTGATCAATGCAGAGTGTCTGCTGCTTCCACAGAGATCTCAGCAGTCCATCTCTGCAAAGAATGCCCAGGCAGCAGGGCTGGTCTGATCAATGCAGAGTGTCTGCTGCTTCCACAGAGATCTCAGCAATCCATCTCTGCAAAGAATGCCCAGAGATTTCCTCTGACCGGCAGTGCTGCGAGGGAATATGGAGTCCGCTTCCCAGCCAATCAGGAAGCCAGATAGGACACAAACTAATTGATATGAGAATAATTGACAACGATTCTAATTATTGATTAAATCGATTAGTTACAGGGCATAGCAAACTACATTTCCCACATCGTACGATTCCCTTGTGCAGGAGCTTCTCTGTGGAAACGGAGCTCTCCCTGCATTTATTAATATTCATAGTGGCAATGCCCCCCTGGACAGTGCACAATGACCTGGAGAGGCAAAGCCAATGTGCAGTGATCTTATTACAATGACTGACAGGGAGGGGGATCAACTGCTTTACAGCCTGTACAAGACAATGTGACCCCAATGTCAGACTGAATGTCCTGTGAAGTAATTTGGAATCTTTAGGACTCGGGCCTACTAAAAAGTCCATAAAAACTAGTTAAACAGACCAGCAATGTGAGTCCTAAAAATGTACATACTTATATATCATCACTGCATCTCTACATTACCACAATAAATGGAAATCACTTACAAAGATGTAAATGGACTTTAAGCCATGGTGACCAGAACAGAGAGGATGCATTTCCCTCCCACCCATGACAAGCAGCTAATCAAGGGTGGAGGACCCAGTCACGTTGGGCTACGCTAGACAGCCTTGCCCAAAGCAGTTCCAATGCAAGAACAAGGCAATTTCCCTTTTGCAGTGTTGGTGTGAGCTTGACTAATTGACATGTTGGTGTGTGTGCTGAAAAACAAAAAAAAGTAGGCCATGCTGCATTTTTATGCAGTGCTTAAAGTAAATGAAATTTAATTTTGTTACAATTTAATAAAGTAGAAAAGAAAAAAAAGGTAAACAATGTGCTATGTGGATCCGCGGGCTTTTCTCTTATTGACTCCATTAGAGTTTGCTGGAATAATTTGGGTTGGTTCCTAGCATCTATATTATGCACTCACACCTGGCTGCATCCCAATGTTATACTATACGATTGATATTTGTTTATAGATATCCTGAGGTAGAGATTGCGCTTCTCATATTTGATCGCCGTCAGTTCTCTCTCTATCCTCTCTGTTGTCCTTGACTGTTTCTGGGGATGACTCCCCGACTGTGCGGATCCACTCACCACTAATGTCCCACTTATGGTATTTATGTATGTATTTAATTGGTTAAATTTTGTTACTAGTTTGTTAATTATGTTTGAAATATTAATATACTGATTGGCATATTCATGTGAATCTTAAAGGTTACCTCCGACTTCCTGATGAAGCTTCGGCGAAATGCATAGAAGGCTGGACGCAGTACATCTTACTTTGATTATGACTATTTATATAAAATTATTATAATGTAATTGATAAAACAAGTTCATTGTATTTATTATTATGCATGTATCATGCACATGTACAGAGTCCTGGGAGGTTTTATGCCGTTTGATCATGGATACTAGCGGGTATATTTTTATCATGTGGATCATGTAATCTTAGTAAAATAACATTTATTTATTCAAAGTAATTTTGTCATTTCTATGTTGTATTATCCCTAATTGCATTTTTTGACAACTTAAAAGCCCCATCTATCTCTATTTTAGCTGTTTACCTATATTAGGGGTGCGGTGTCCTTGTTCATGTAGTGATTCAAAACTTTTTACTAAGATGTTTATCACAAGATGCTCAGCTTTGTGACAGAGACATGAGCAGCTTTTAAAAACCACATTATCTTTTCATCTGTCTTTTTAGACAATGAAAAGAAGTGAAGCGCGCTTCATTTCAGTGACACCCTCCGCCAAAATGTAACGCATACAAAAAAGTAGAAACTGCTGACCACAGTGTGCTTATGCAAGCGGTTCTTCATTACAACCACAGGCATATTCAAGTTTCAGTGCTGCCACTGTATTCTTGAAGTTAGAACTTAGTGTTTTTAGCCATACTTCTAGAAACTTCCTTAATTAGGGGTTCATTCAATTCTATCTGCATGGTTTGAATAGGTCAATGGACTGCAAACGCAACAAAACCAAAATCAGGCCCGCACCTTTTTTTTCTTTAACATACCACAACGCACAATAAAGCACAATGGTTAAGTGCACAATAAAGGTGTGCTACATAAAAAAATTAAAAAAAAGCAGGCTGCAAAGCCAATGTGTCAGGGGTGTATTGAATGGCAAGGCAGTACATGGAAATGTAAACATCCAGTTTTGAGATTTGTACAGTTCTGCTACACGTCATAGTCTTGCCAGGCAGAGTAGGGACACTGATCTCTTCTGCTGTCGTTGCACTTTCACGTCTCTCTCTCTCCCCCCCACCCTGTGAATGGAAAAATTGAAAGGAGAAGCTACACACCAATGAGCAGAAATCTCTGTCACTCTTCTCCCTCTCCCCCTCCCTATCAGCATGCTTCTTGTACCGCAGCACACCTAATTGGCTCCTTCCACTGCCTCACCGACCCTCTGGCAGTATTTTGGCCAACTGTGTCCCATTGGGGAGATTTCCCTTTACTTTGACAGATAGTGAACAGGAAGTGAGAGGAAATCTCTCCATGGAGGTCAAAGGAGTCATCAAAACTAGTATCCCCGTCTATTCCTGTTCTGGTGACAACCCAACATTTGGGATTTTTTTTTCACTTTCAGTGATAAGTTACCAGGACAAATAGAGAGGGTGAATCTCCCCAACAGTTAGACAGCAAAAAAAAAACCTGACAGGAATTCCAATCTCTCTCCACAAAACATGCATTATTTATAACAGATCTCGTCACAGACGGCGGGCCAGGGAGGGCGCCGAGGGGGTACAGGGAGGCAGGAAGAGCCAGACAATGCGCAGGCTATCACCGTCCTCTGAGATCTTTCCGTGTGCTGGCAGATCATCGCGAAAACCCCCAGAGTGCCTCCCAGACTGCAGGCGTGACAGTACGCCTGTAAAACACAAAACACGCACACACAAATGAACTCATGCCACCACCCACAACTTACAGGTTCGTGGGAAACCTTTTCCCGGACACTCATGGTCCGTACACTCTGGACTCAAGCAGTCTAGCACACACAGGCTTCACAGACCACACGCACACACTGCTCTCACTAGCAGCTACAGGTTAGCTAAACCAGACACAATTACCTCTAGAGTTACTACCTCCACTCGCAGTCTCCTGCACTACCGCTGGTCACCACTGGAGGGATACTCACCCAACTCAAGCTGGCGGGACACACACAATCTAGTGTGCTCATATTGTTGTGTGACAGATCAAGGGGTTTCCTCACGCCAACTAAAATTCTCCAAGTT